TTTTTGGATGCACTTCAGGCTGAGACCGTGGAACCTTCGGCTTTCAAGGTTGGTGATGAGCAAGCTGAGTCAACTGAGGAGAGACACTCGGAAACAGTGGACAATGACCTAGCTGGAGTTCCTGATCGAGAACAGCTAGAAGAGCTGATGGAGAAACCAGCGATTCTAGAACCTTTTGGATCTGAACAGTCCAGATCTGGTCGGAAGCGAAGGCCGCTTCCAGGTACTCTGAGGCATGCTTTGGCGAACAAAGGCTGCAGGTTGAACAGCATCTTCCGATTGTGCCTGCGATTACGGTCAATGAGGGGTGGCCTTGACAGTGGATTCTTGAAGAATCCGCAGAACACCCGGAGGGCAGCATCAGCGCTCAACTGGTACCAGCCCCACGGCAAGATAAATAGAAACGAGATGGGTTTGACGTGACATGATACTGTGTCTTGGCATGTTGCCTTTCATTTTGTAGCCAATGAGGCTGGGAAAACCATTCTGTATTTTTTCTGTCAATACTCATACGATCTCATACAACGCAATGTCAGCAACATAGTATTGGAATGTATTAGAATATGTTTGCAGGCATGGATAGCATCTGCCGTAATGCAAGGGTATGATTTTACATTTTGTAGAACACAGTTTCTGAAAACAATGTGTACATGCATTCTGTAGTGAATGTAAGTTGGAGGCAAGCAATCTATGTGTGGATCTTGAGGTACAATGAACGGCGTATCGCGCAGATCAACCATCAGCAGGAAGAAGGCTTTCACAACAGCCGCACCAGTCGCCTAGCCAAGTGGCGAGAAGTCGCAGAAAGGGCTCGGAAAGATTTGCAGCTACCTCCTGGAGCGCTGGAAACCTTGAAGTGACTTTGATATCATGTGATTATTTGCTAATATTTGATGATATTTGATGTTATTTGTGATTGATAGATATTGGACGGGGGGGAAAGAGGAATATAGTCTGAGCAGTATGGCTGGGCACTTTCAATTTTTAGTAGTTTTTGCTGAGCACTTTCAATTGTTTAGTAGTTTTTTTGATGTTTTTAGTACAACTCTAAAAGATAATTCTTTTGACGAATCGAGAGTGTCCACTGCTGAGGCCAGGGAACATTGTCCTATTCCACACACCAAGTAGGACTTCCAGTGTGGAAACAGGTATGATCTTGTCAGTATGGCGTGGAGTCAAGATGCCAAAGCTGATTTGTGGAGACACACCGATCAACTCTGTTGTGGCTTTCCGAGCAGTGCAACTTCAGCTGGAAAGCGCATCGGAGGAGCGTCTAGAATCAACTATATGGCTACAAAATAAAAGGTATTCATTGCTAACACTACAAAATGATAGGAAGAGAGTGTATGAGTCTGTTTGGATTTACAGTTGGCATTCCTGGTCATTCTTTAGAGTATGGGTTTTCAGAGTGGCTGATGTAGGAGGCTCTAGGACTTGCTGGCCATGACTGACTTGCGTTGCGTTGGGGCAGGAATCTCCATCACAGTGGAGCTGCCGCAAAGATTCACTTGCATGGGTTGCCCGAACAGAGTCCCTCATCACCATCTTGGATTGCACACACTGCGCCCTGCAACATAGTTAAGGTACCCCTTTGTATCCTTTTGTTATACCTCATGCATTTTGTAGCGTTTTTTCCTCTGAGTGTGCATTTTGTAGAGTGTGCTGTTCTGTTGCAGTGCCTGTTTTTTGTAAGGCAGCTTTCCTTTGGACAACTCTGGGTCCGTGCGCGTGACCATCAGCGAGGACAGTGCCCAAGCGGTTCTGAGGCTACCGGATATGCAGGGCTGGGCCGTGAACCCAACTATGGTGCGAGGAAGCGGCAAGAAGTCAGCCAGCTTGATGTCAGGTGCGCAGAAGGCCATGCACGAGTTGGGGAAGGGTGGCAGTGGCAAGAGGAAGCGCAGCCGTCTCGGGCGTGCAAAGAAGGCAAAACATGCGTCTGACGGCGGCAAGAGGAAGAAGAAGCTGAAAGGCAAGAAGAAGGGAGAGGTTGAGAAGGAGTGCGCGAAGGGGGAAGAGAAAAAAGAAAGAGGAAGAAGAAGACAAAGCCGGTACTTGTGAGCCTGTCAGTGGAGCCCCCCAACTTTCAAGGACTATCGCAGGACGAACAAGGGGTATGCGTTGATCAGGGGCCAGGTCTCAGAGCTCATCGAATTGGATCACAAGGCATTCCAGAATGCCCCAGCTTTCTCCAATGATGGGTTGCGCCGCTTGAAGTTGGCACCCGCCGAGGGAAAGACCAAGGAACAGATCATCCACGAATGCCATGAAGCTGTTGACGCTTTGATACTTGGACATGCTTCGACCTTTTTTCACTGGTTTCAAACGGAGTAGTTTAGAGATGCTGAGTGGGACCCGACCCTTCTACAAACTGCAGGAAAATAATCTATTAGTTCCCTTTCACTACAAAATGACTCACAATAACCTTTTGCCTGTGTGGTGAGGTTTGCTCACATGAAGACGCCAGACGTGTTTGGACGCTCTGTGAGCAAGTACTTCGACACATTGCGTTCACAGCTGACCCGTGATCCGCCAAATCGCCAGGGTTTTTTAAGAATGTTGAAGGACATTTGCGAGTATCTCGCGGCAAAAAGTGCCAGCAAGAAGTCCTAA